TCATTTTCAAGTTTTTGATGCAGTGGAAGAGCTCTCACTAATACATATCAGCATATTACTATTAGGTTTGATAAAAATATCTTGAATGATTTATTTAAAACTGAGCTTAACACTTATTTGAGAAAAGAGAGGTCAAGGTCAACGGAAAGGTTGAGGTCAAAATGTTGATGCAGTTGAAAAACTTATATCAGTATGTATTTACTATTAGCATAGAAGTTCAACAAAAATATCAGAAATGGTTTATTTAAAATGTAGATAAGGCCAAATAAAAAAATATGTGTGGTTCGGGTTACCCGACCTTCCCTATTTTATACCCCCGACCCTAAACTTTTTTTTGGCAATTTTCATATTTTTCCGGAATTTCCCCCAATTTCCATCAATGGCTCCAGTTTAAGTTTTAGTTTCAGCAATGACGGCCTCCTTGCAAAACATAGTGCAAGTGTTTAATAGTGTTAAATCCAAAGCAAGCTAGCATGTAGGTGTCCCCTACCAATATTGACTAGTATATTATCACACCACATCTAAATGCCATTTGCAAAGCAGTGATAGGTACTATTTAGAAAAAAAAATTAAGAAAATCATTTTGTTAAAAAAAAAAAAAATAAAAAAAAATAAAAAAAAAAATAAAAATCCCTACCTACCTACCCTAATTTTTTTGGAAGTGTAACCGGAACCACACATATTTTTTTGTTTGGCCTAAACACTAATTTAAAAAAGTGAGGTCAAGGTCAAAGGAAAAGTCAAGGTCAAAAAAGTTGATGCAATTGATATCTCTCAGCAGTATAATTATATCAGCATATGAAGTTTGATAAATATATCTTGAATTGTTTATTCAAAACTGATCTAGACACTAATTTAAGAAAAGTAAGGTCAAGGTCAAAGGAAAATTCAAGGTCAAAAATTTTGATGCAGTTGAAAAGCTTACATCAGTATGTATCAGCATATGACGTTTTATTGAAGTCGGACATGACAAACACTATATGCCTCGGCCATATTCATGGCAGGGCATAAAAAACTTGAATCTACACTATATGAGGATGTTTCCATATCAAAATGACTAACAAGCAAATTCAAAGAATTGTGGTCCCCTGCTTTCCGTGTCCTAGTGGATGGGATGCCATTATTTATGACATATTGTTTCAAATATGCACGCCCTATCATATGTCATTCAAAAGTAATCACCAAAGTTAAAATTTTTGAAAATTAGGTAAAACATCAAGGTCAAGGGGTAAAAAATCATAGCATGCTTGGAAACATATTGTTACAGGTAATGTACATGTCAAATATAAAAGTCCTATCTCTTCTCAATCAAAAGTTATAAGGAAATATAACATTTTTGAAAAGTAGGTTAAACTTCAAGGTCAATGTCACAGAGTCAAAAGTCATGATATATTTAGAAAGGTCTTGTCACAGGTAATATACATGTATAATATGAACGCCCTATCTTTTCTCTTTCAAAATGATCATTTGAAATAATGTTAAATTTTTTGAAAAGTAGGTCAAACTTCAAGGTCAAGGTCATGGGTTCAAAAATCATGGTATGTTTAGAAAGTTCTTGTAGGTAATGTACATGTGAAATATGAAATCCCTATCTCTTATTATTCAGAAGTTATGACCAAGGTTAAATTTATTGTGACAGACGGACAGACTGACAAACGGACAGACTGACAGACAAATGAGATTTAATGTCCCCTAGGTCCCTTTTGTGAAAACGGACGACAATAATGCCCTTGCTATTCATGAGAAGAAGATTTATGATGGAAAAAATCCCCTGCATTTTTCTATGTAAATCATTGGATCCCCATATGTGGCCCCATCCTACCCCAGTGGGTCATAATTTTAACAAATTTGAAGCTACACTGTCTATGTAAAGAAAGTTTCAACTTTTTGGGCCCAGTCAGTGGTTCTTGATAAGACTTTTTTAAAATGATACCACCAAATTTTCACTAATTCTTGATTATCCCCCCTTGAAAGAGGGTGTGACCCTTCACTTGAACAAACTTGAATCCCCTTTACCCAAAGATGCTTTGTGGCTGGGTTGGTTGAAATTGGCCCGGCGGTTCTAGTGAAGAAGACAAAAATGTGAAAAGTTTACAGGCGGACAGATGAATGACAAACAAAATGTGATCAGAAAACCAGAAAAACTCAAGTGAGCTAAAAACTGATGATCACAAGTACTTGGAAAGAGTTACAGTATTTGAAAAGCAGTTTTTTTTTCATGCATTAATTGTTTTCAGAAGCTGAAAAGGTATGACTTGTATCCATGTTGAAAAAACTTCACATTTCAGAAAACAGTATGATTAAAAATAGTTAATCAAGGTGCTTTGAGTAGCAAAATAAGCTAAACTGGTATAGCTAATTCAACCACAGAGCTTAGTGAATTTTAAAATGCACAACCTTTTCAACTCTTAATCATTCTTAAAATATTTATATCATCATTTCTGATTCAAGGGAGAACTAGAGATATGATCAGAAGTATATCCATTGACTAATAAACGTGTACATGTATATTGTGTTTTTTAAGTCATTAATGTTTGTTTGTTGTTAAATGTCCCTCTTGGGAATTTTTCACTCATACGGAGACACCACCACTTAAAAATAATGAAGACGTACAAGTCGGATTTAAGGTTAACATTCATTTTAGGAATTTTCAACAATTAATTAAGACGTAAAGAGATAACTCCTTCCCCTTGCCCCTTCCCCTTCCCAGACCCCAGTTTGTTCATGTATGCAAACTAGTCTAATACTTTGGTTTGACATAAAAAAAAATGTGAATACATACAAATAGTTTAATGGTCCATCTCTTTGAATGATTTTCATTCCTAATTCTAGGTTGACCCAAATTCATGAATGAAATGTCAAGTAATCTTATCATTGATGCACTTCTATTTAATTTGATGTAGTCATATTATGAACAAGAGAGTGGGGATGACCTCAAGGGTTCATAACCTTAAACCATTAGATGTACATAACATAATAACACAAGAAACAAAATTATGTCTAGTCAAATGGAAAAATTTTCTACTATTTAGGAGTCGCATGATCATTTGTCATTTCAGGGACAGGGAGCGGCTAGGGAGATTGGACCCCCCCCCCCCTGGAATTTGCAGAGTTATTTAAATAGGACTATATACTGATTTACAGAAGCAAATAAAAAATGACTTTGGATGCCCTCCCCCTTTAAAAACATGGACCCCACCATCATTGTTTTTATTTTGTTTGTTTGTTTGGTTTTTTTTTATTTTGCTCCTCATGAAATTCTGGGCTGGAATTTTTTTGGACCGAGGTGTGGACCCCCCTCCCCCCCGGAAAAAAATTCCCGGATCTATGCCTGTAACTGAATGTAATGTCGACAACGGGAGATAACTCTTCAGAATGTGAAATTCGTCTATTGTGGCATCGATGATCCACTCTCTACGATCGGCTCATACATTCAGTGTCTGAGAGAGAAACGAACGACAACTCTGCATAGGAGATTGCCGATGATCTTTGATCCTTTTTAAACTTTAACCTAACCATTTGCATTTTGGTTTATTTTACCCCAATCTATACTTAAACTTGTACTTACCGACTGTCATAGGTCCTGTCAACTTCATGAAATATAATCCAATTAAAACACAAAATGAATTAATTTCCACTGATATACATGTAACACTGCACCATGTCACATGGCATGTGCAATCTAAAAATGATAATGGTAAAACTAGTACTAGTACTGGTAGGGTGACGCAAGCCCAATGTGATGTAGAAATTTTCAAAAAGGTGTTCACATACATGTACAGTACAAGAACAAATTTTAAATTATCATAACAAACGATGTTTTAACATAACTTTGCCATCTAGGCCTATTTCCAAAAACAGGCAAATTGTGTGTGTGTGTATTTGGGGGGGGGGGGGGGGGGGGGACACATATAAATTGATTGGGTATGGCTTTTCAAGGAGGTTTTTGCCTAATCAAATACTAAAAAAAGTTTGCACATTTTGATAAATTCATCAAAAACGCTTTGTACTAAAATAATATTATTTGTTGTTGAGAAGATAAATTTAATTTAAAAAGTTCCAATTATGGGCCAAAAATTTATATCCCCCCCCCCTTTTATTAAAACCTAATTTACAACATTAATTAAATTCTGATATTTCAGACTGGTAATGAATTAAGTATATGAAATGCGTATAAGAGGTTCATGGGTCACATGGTCACCTGAGCATTTTATGCTCGATTTGACGAATACATGTACTGTGTAAATTATAGAATTATTTGGACTTTTTCCTTGGTAAGCCCAATATGAAGGAGTGTGCATTTAGAGGCAAACACCTTAGTGCGGGTATTACTGTCTCATGACAGCATCTAGTTTATATATATTTCAAAAAAATAGCAAGAAAAATACTGAGTAGAACATGCAATCCCCTGTGCCCAAAATTAAATCTATGACTTAAATATTTATTTTATTTTTTTAAAAGTCACTTGCCCACGGGCAAGTGGTTGATAAAATTTCACCTGCCCTCTCCTAAAATTCACTAGCCCCAGCGGTCGGGCAATGGGATTTGTCAGCCCCTGATCAGATTAGGCAAGATTTCAGAGTACACAACATCTGTATTATGCAAGTTTCACTGTATACCTGTTAATATTGTTATTTAATACAGAAATTCCTCCAATCCAATACATATATTCTTTCAGTTGATTACAAGAAACTTTTTCAAATTACATTAATTAATCAAGATTTCAAATTTTATATAATAAACACAATAAAACATGGCAAATTAAATACTCATCAGATATCTTAAAACCTAATAATTAATAAAATGCCTTATCACCACAAGATTTCAGAACTATAGCATCAGCCCAAAAGCCTAAATGATTATGACTAACATGACTAATTTCAAGTTAGGGTTGGAGACACTTGCAAATTATTAGATAAATATGGTTTGAATGTACTGACAATTTTTGCAAGAAGTGAAGTGGTGTTTTTGTACACAAGACATCAAGTTCCCCAAGTAATATAAGGAATACAAAACTCAAGTAGTTTAAAATGAAAAAAAAAATCTTTCCCCTTTTCATTTTTCTTTTGGATACTGGTTTTTTTAGGTATTGTATTACTTCAAAATTACAGCATTTCAGATGTTAATATGCCATTCATATTCCAAGAATGTAATACAGTCCTCTCTTCACATTTTTTAAGGTATAAACCAAAACACCTGCAAGATCTGGCCTTTCAGGAGAGTCCAATAAAAGAATACCGGTACTGAAATTTATAAATCTTTATTAAACATTCATTTATTTCTGAGTAACAAATGAAAATATTTTGCTATTATTCCTTTTACCATATATATCCATGCAATAAAAAAAGTCAGGTTACCTTTTAGAAGATGAGAATTTTTTTCCCTAGACTTAAACCACCTGATTAACCCAGACTTTCCTTCATAAAGCACACAACAGTTAAATAATGACTTATGCACAGTGTGTTTCACAGATAGATTCAGCTTTTTATCATTTCAGAACCTAGCAATTTTAAACATCCCTGTTTTTAGAGTGCTTGCAGGGATTACAATACTGTGGGAGTTGACAGTCCATATAAGTTGAGTCAGTCTTGTATGCAGGGACTCTACCAGCCCCCCAGTGTCAGTTACAAATAATGGGACCCTCCATTGCAATATCTATTGATAAAACCAAGTTACCTTTTAATCTTACAAATTTATTCATTAAGATGTTGAACATTATATACAATGGAGCAGTACGTGATTAATTTATACAGCTTTTATATAAGACCCCCACGAGAAGTATTTTATTATTTTTAACTTTACATTCCCGTGATTATCTGGAGTGGGTTGCTGCACGTTTTTTCTTACGCCATAAAACAGGAAGTGACACTCATACAATGGTCTCTGTAGAAGAACCACTTGTATGGAGCCAGGCTGGCGTGGCCCCTCCCCCCTTTATCTAACAATGCCAAAACACAGAGACTTATCAACCTAAGACATCTTTACTACCTTACTAATGAAAACCTGCTCTTCATCAAAACTATAGTAATGTTATAAAATGTGCTGCAAGAAATCCTACCTTTCTCTTCAATTAGTTTCCTTGCTTCACTTCAGCATATTTACAATTCCGTACTTATTTTCAATAGATGCTTTGTTACAGTGTAATTATTAAATATTAATCAAACTCATATAGTTACTGACAGTTAATTACCTCATCATTCTGACTGAAGTCCAATACTATTTCAGTATACCTAAATAATCTGATAGATGATATATACAATATCTTAAGAATCACATAAAGTCTAATAAAAATTACAAGCCTTATAATATCAAGCCTCCTTCTCCTCTCAGACAATCACTTGTATTAACCAAAATTACAATATGTACTCTGAAAATAGAAGTTTGCAATAAGGCTCTCTCTTCATGCAGGGACATCTGACAGCCTCCAAAGTTTGAAGGCTTGGCAGCTGCATTTCAAATATTTTACAAGTTCTCACAGTGTCTGACACGTTTTAAGGATAGTTCCAGCACAGAATGACATATCCATGGCCACATAATAATGCTTCTGATGCAATTCACATGATAGTGCATGAGCACACCTGATGCATCCTTGCCCTGAATTAACCCTGTAGAATAATCACGAGCTGGGTGGTATGTATGTTACCAAATAAGTAACTGTACTTAAATGACACAATGATCAGGGCATCGAAATAAATGTGTTAATATCAAAACTATCAAAGTACTGTTTTTAACGGTGTTAAAAAAAAAAATGTATCCCAATTAACTGAACAATTGTCCAATGTAAAAGTTGCAGGAATTTAAATATCCTAAAACGATCAATTACACAAGGTGTCTCAATTTTAAAGGAAGAAAAACCTTACCTACTGCAGACTTGACTTGAATAGCAATTTTAAACCTCCTTCACAGCTAGAATTTGAAACAGTTCCCCCCAAATCCAGTGATAAAATATTAATTTAGCTCTGTTTGTGCTGCACACATACTCTAGTAACATTTTCCAAGTGATCCCAAATTAGGAGTGATTTAAATACTGAATACCCTTTTTCTTCCATTTCTCCTTTCTGACCATGTGGCAAAAATAACAGCGAGGAGTAAATTAGACCATGGACGTGCCAGAACATACATGAAGAGGGTCTACCGGCTTCTCTAATTTAAATTGACCTGGGTGAAAATAAATTTATAAATCAGATACAATGGCTGAGTTCTATGTGCGAGTCCACACCTGGGTATTAAAGGGAAAAGTAAACACTTGACAATCATTGTACTGCAGAGCAGCTTTATTCCAAGCAATCCCTGAGTTCCTGTACAAGACCCTATTTGAATCATCAGTCGTGAAACACATAATAGAATTTCTTTCAGCTGCTTAATCGTCAAAAGGGATGTGTAAGAGATGATAAATTTAGATTAATATAAACGTCACCATAAGTCCCGTGAACAAGGGATGAGAAAAAAAAATTCAAGGTGTTCAAAGTGCAAAAGTAACATATGTGAACTATCCAAGCAATCCTGAAAATCCAATATCATATTGATTTTTTTAACTGAAAAGTGAAAACACGACAGAAGTCCTTTTGTGTCTCTTCTATATCTGGATATGTTAAAAAGCTTTACACTTATTCAAAAGTTCAAGTTGGTATTCAGACAGTAATCTGGTGAATTTAAAAACTCTGGACACAGTTTCAGTTCAATGTTTAATATGCCAAAAGTTTCCATTTCAGTGGAATATTACTCTTAGGACATCAATTTCAAATCTCTTCCATCATTCAAATTCATATTTTCAGGGAAAAGTATTTACATATATGTATTAATACCAAACAAACAACTTCAACATGAAATAAGTACAGTCAAACCTCATTAACTCAAACTCGATGGGACCAGGTAAAAACTTTGAGATATCCCAGGATTAGATATATCAGGGTTAAAATACAGAAAGGGTAAGTGATTAAAATTTCCATCTTACTTCTCTCTGACATATCCGTAGTAATCAAGATGTCATAATTCGAGATAACGTGGTTCAACTGCATAGAGAGAGAAAATGAATGGAATGGACAATCTCTAGTTGCTAATCCATCCCAATTTTCAGACCAGTGAGCTACAGATCTACAGCATATATAACACTTGAATCTGTCCTAGATTTTGGAAAGCATGTAAAATTTGTTATTTTCAGGGAAAAAATGGGGAAATTATAGGCATTGTAGAGAGATTTCCTTTTTCAACGCAAGAAATATCTCTTTAGTTATTATGGTATTTTAAATGCCTTTCCATTTCTTGATTTTAATGGTTACAATTTAAAACAGAAAAGAAAAGTATCATTTTAAGGATGTCCCTTATTATCTCAAGGTTTATCAATTATATAATTCTATTTCACTGATTATACTATACCTTTATACATCAAAGACGTTATAAATTTAGCATACAAGTCTCGGTTACTTTGGGAATAACTATTTTCTAATTTGATATTTGTGTTAATGCTGATTTAACAGTCGCAAACTGAGTTTTACCAGCGACACGTAAGCGGAGCTGGTAAAATGGATGTTGCGACCGTTGAATAAGCATTAACGTTTGCAAATACCATATTAGAAGATTGATATTCCCATTCTAATGCAATTTACGCCTTTTGCTTGATGTTTACATCTTATTTTGTTGAGTTTTGTTATATGAAATATGTCACAGAGTGTTGTATATTTTTGCGTCGCTCTATTATGACATCACAATCAAAGCTTTCACTCTTGTTAATGCTTGTTTAACTGCCTCAAACAACATTGCATTAGCCAGTCAAAATTCATTTTACAAAACAATTGCATTAGAATTAGTATTTAGTCCCTGATTAAGATTTTATGTTAGCATCTTTAGTTTTAGTTTATAGGCTATAAGTTAAGTAGAAATGCCAAATGGACAGGGCAATTTTTATAGTGCAGCCACATTAATGCTCATGAATGAAAATTCTAATAAAATAATATGTTTCTTTTTTTTAATCTTCATCTGATGTTGTACATATAAAATTTCAAAAACACCACAGCTTTCGACCCAGATTTTTGTACGATAAGTACACAGGCAGGTGCCCGAAAGTCTGGGTCGGGCTCACGCACACCCCACTTTGAGGGTATTCACGGGAGGTTTAGCTTTTCGATAAAGGCGACTGAAAACATAAATATTAAAGATTTTAAAAGAACTGTCTTTTAAGTTTTTATTATTATTATAAACAAAGGACAGAAACAGAAAACGATATATATACAATCAGAACACTAGACATTCCGTCGCCAACTGTTATTATTGATTCTAAATTTAAAACCTGGATTAGATTGTAAAACTTGTGTCCAAAAGTTAAAATATACGCTCCAGAAGTATCGTTATTGTCGAGCAGTGAAATATTTTACACTACAAACACTTACCTAAACCTGGTGTTGTTATTGTGATAACTAGCAGAAAAACTCGCTGCATTTCTCCGCCATGACAGTTCCTTTCGTGACCTTGGGGTTAAAGTTAAAAGGTAAAATTCATTTCCCGCGATATTTCAAACGAGGGGTTCCAATGACTAAAAGAACAGTATACATAATTTTAATAATTTTCTAAGAATAATTCATGCTGAATAAACTATAACTAAATCTTTATATTATAAAAATAAATTATGGGTAATTATTGAAAAAAGTTCATGATAATGAGAACTGGAGAAGGGGTCCTGACAAAATTTCTACAAGGTATACAATGTATAATTTAAAATAGGTCTGCCTTTTAGATATACATGTATATGATAGGAACAATTTGTGATTAACCTAAAATTCAAAAATTCACATTCATAATGATATTTTGCAATGGAGCACTTCCCTAAATGTATTATTTCCTGTAAACAAAGAATGATTTAAAATAGTTTTTAATTGATAATTTAATAATAAACTTCTGAGTCAATTATTCCAGATTGAAAATAAGGGCTGTGGTTTCTTTTATAAGAAGGCAGTGGGATTATTCAGGTGAATACACTTGATTTAAACACACAACAACTATGTCAAACACAGTGTACAGGAAAGAAGAAAATATAAGGCTAGACCTGGAATTGAACCTTGGACCCATGCATCACTAGTCAGGTGCTCTACCTGAGCTATATCCAGGCTGATATCCATAGCCCAGCCATACATTTCCTCCTTTCCTGTTACATAATTTGGTGCCATTGAACATCCCTGGACTAAGAGGTGAAATTTAGTACTAAGTCCTGCCAGAGGCAAATAAGAACTTGGGTTGTCTTCAAGGGTGATGATGATTTAAGAAAGGAGTAATGTAATGGTTTGGGCCATGGATATCAACCTGGATAGCTCAGTTAGTAGAGCACCTGACTAGTGATGCAAGGGTCCTGGGTTCAATTCCAGGTCCAGCCTTACATTTTCTCTTTCCTGTTTAATACTGTCAATAGTTTACATGTTCTTATAATTAGTCAAGATAAATGTCAATTGACTTTACTACTATTTTCACCTCAATTATTAAAACAGTACAGTTGTTTAAAGATTCTTGTCCAGGATATCTTACTACTAGCAATTAAAAGTAATTTTATTATATCATAGTTCCTTAAATTCAGAGTACGATTCATGAGAGAAGTGTTCTATGACTTTGATGTAATCAGGAATTTGCCATATTTTTGTAAATTTGAAATCTTTAAAATAGGTCACCACACCTTTAATTCCAAGCTAAAATGAGCTAAAGCGAGTGCAGCGAGCCATGCAAAGCACCACTCGCAAAGCAAGCTCAATATTGACTAACATATAAGAATAGAGAGATTTGAATTAAAATCTGCATATTCATCAAGCAATTTTTTTTGTGTGCAACTTTTCCAGAATTCCTTCACTATACCAGGATTACATGCGATAATGGCAAATAAACAGCCCCGCAGTTATTGTGTATTAAGATATCTGCAGAGAGCTTAAAAGATACAAAAAAATAATTGCATCTACTCTACAATGCCTTAATTCGTTAAAAAATTGCAAAAGGCCTATGTAGACACCCTTACGGAAATGCAACTTACATACGACATCATGTGACATCACAGTCTAGACTTGTCTTGTGTGGTTTGAAGTTTGAATAGGCGGATCAAAGTTTAAAGTGTATGCTATGTAAAGTTGTTTTTTATGGTATAAAGCTGCACTCACCTCAAAGGTGGGACCATAAAACATATTAAACTAACAAATTCAGTCTTAAATATGTCCAATGAAAATTTATTGTTAATATGCAGTAAACAACAAAGACATATGATTCAAGAACATCCAAAAAGAATTGTGTACAAGTAGTGATTTGTGTAACAATGTATTACATTAACAGTCTAGTCGAACCCCCGAACGGGGGTATACCCCCAAACGAGGGTTTTCCGTCCCGTCATGCAATGCGCAAGAACAGTAACTCTTGCCGTATCCAATATAAACAAACTTGCCTATATATCATTTATCGAAGGAAAAAGATCGATAATAATGTTATTTCTGCTATGAAATTGGTAAAATTTCAACAGAAAAAAATTAACAGTTTAAGTTTTCCATAGTTTGAATTTATACTGTAGGAATAACGAAATATTTTCCGTCATTTCATGAAATTATTTATTATTTTGTAGGACGTCTCAATTAAGATTGTGGAATTTAAAACACAAGGAAAAATATTCTAAGAATGAGGAAAATATTCATTTAGAACCTAGATTTAAATAAAATAAAATACAATCGTGTTTTCTCAAACAATCATATTTATTAATATAAAAAAACAAACAAGCTACAACAACATGTTGCCAAACATTTTATTTAATTCTTATAAGATATAAAAGACAATAAATACGATAGATTTCATTTGAATTTTATTTTTATATGTATTTTTGTTCCACTTCCTGGGCATGATTATTGATAATAAAGACCGTTGATTGCTAGTCAGAGGAAACGCGGACTGAAACCCACGATCATAAACAATTCGATATTAGCACCATTTTTTCTTGCATTTTATTATGAAAATAAAAGATATAATGTAGAATAATACATTTTTTATATAATTTCAATTTAGTATTAGTTGCTTATGTCTGTTTATCGAATGTTTTATCTTAAATACCTGCATGTCAAGGAGCAAAAGATCGCCAACTTTGCCAGTGAATAAATCCCGATTTGTACAATAAAGTTATATTTTTGTAAAATACAAACTCTAAAAACACCTTTAATCTATCATTTCCGAGTGGTTTTACATTTGCCAAATAATCCGTTACTTTGCACCGGCGATTTTTGTAAACCCCTACTTTTTGCGTGAAATACGCACATTTTTAAGCATCTGCGCATGCTCGTACCCCCGTTTGGGGGTATGGATTTCCCATTTCCGTTTACCCCCGTTCGGGAGTTCGACCAGACTGATTAAAGCGACAGTACGGCTGCAAAATGTGTGCTATTTCATCCAAATTTACCCAATATGTCATTAAGAAATAAGGTATAAAGTTGATGTAAGCAGTTTGAGAAACAGAAATATTCTCTACTCAAACAAAATTAACGTAATTAGAATCTGCCGGAAAATCAAGGGTCGTACGAACTGGAGCAATCTTAGATCTGTTTATTTGTACCACGTGAATTCTAAAACGGCACGTGCCTACACTGTAGAGTTTACAGTTATAATGAATATTAGGTGAAAGCAATTTTCAAAAACACAAATTATCATAACTTTCTGATAAAATAATCTAAAATAATAATCGTAAAGATTTTAGTCTGCATTCAGGCGAATTTAACAGAATTAAAAGTACAAATGTTTACGTTTTGTGTATTGGGGTCCGAGAAAGGGAAAACCAACTAATCATACGTTATCGCGGCAAATGTCAAACAAAATATTTTTCTGCACAGTTAAAAAAAATTAGCATTTCAAATGGCAACAATGTTTATAAGTCAAAGATGTATTTTTAATGTTGAGTTTACACTATTTTTTTTCTTTGAAAGCGACGGGAAAATGAGAAATGATAACAAGTATCAACAAACCTGTCAAATAGAACCTTCGAGAGCCCTGCGTGAGTGTCGCCGAGTTCCCGTTTCTTCCTTATCCAGCGATTTTATTAATCCCCAAACTAAATTTTAGTCATGAAAGTTGCTTTTTCAAGTTCTATTTTCAGTTTCTTTTTCTTTTTGGTCGACTTTGTCAATGTAGCAGGCCTACCGGGATTCCCTCTCTAACCATGCTGTTTTGTTTATGAAAACTACGCATGCGTGCATAGCATGGAATGTGGAACCCCGAACACGTTGCGATGTATATATTTACGTCCCATAAATAACTATTAATTATAATGAAATAATCCAAATTATTTAATTGTAAAAGTTGTAATTTTCTGAAAGTTTATACATTTATGAGTAGTAAAAAAATTCCAAATCTTGTCGGAAAATTTTATCTAGTCAGTTTTTTGATGAGATGCGCCGTACTGTCACTTTAAACAATACATGCACTCCTGACCAACGTATGTTGTCCTGACACATCAGAAAATTAATCTGAAGCTCTTTGTAAGTACTAATTTGAAATGGGTTCATTATTCCTGATTATTCATTCACATACTGCAAGAATATCGTTCCTGGCTGACATATCTGATTCTTACAATATATAGCATGTATATTTTTATATTCATTAATTCAAATTTGGAAGTAAATAACTTTTGAGCAAAAATTGCAAAACATACCTCATAAATATAAATCATGTGATTAACAAGAAGTTCAAAAATATCTCCATTAAAAGCACCTTTTCAATTATAAAATTATATAATCATGCATTAAAAGACAGAATTTACAAACGATAAGTAAATTTTTTTTTAACTTAAAAATCAAAATGTATGCAATGTATATTAAAAAAAAGATATTATCTATAATAAAAAACAGTAATTGTTTTCTTAAAATTGTAAAACTGACTATTGACCCATGCCTAGAAAAAAAGAGGCTCATGGGCCTTGATAGTCACCTGAGGTTTTTTCGCAACTTTATCTAGTTATAAGCCACATTTATCTCAAGCTCACATGTCACAGTTCAAGACAAAAATAAATAAATAAATAAATAAATTTTAAATTTTTTTTCCACATACTCGAGCAATAAGCTGAATATCTCCTAGATATCCAGGAGTAAAGAATATTTTTAAAGGTTAAGAAATTCATTTTCAAACTTAGCTCCACTCCAAGGCATGAACCCTGTAACTAGGGCCATGAATTTCACAAGTTTGGAATATACATTGCTTAGTATGATCATACTAACAGTTTGTTAAATACTGTATACAAGGAAAATTTTGCCCCAATTCTATTTTTGACCCTTTCGCCCTCCTCCTCCAAGAGGGCAAATTTAAAATTGGGTGAATTCAAGGAAGACAACATTATCTCTTAAACATGTCAACTATATCTGGGTGAATTTAAAATGGGGCAAAATTATTCACAAGTGTGAAAGGGTGAAAATACCCCTGTATATTAAGATCTGTAACATTTTTAAGCTAAATTCAATACTAAGGCATCAAACATGAATGCAAGGGACATACCGGGTAGATTTTTTTTTTATATTAGGAGAAGTCTGGCTAATATTGCTTAGCTCAATCTTGTAACAGTTAGTCTGTCAACATCTGTGAGTAAAGAGGAAACTTTTTAAAGATTACATGCCTTTTCAAACTCAGCCCTACCCACATATTACTGTTCCAAGGGATTAAGTAAACTCCAGTCAGCTGCAGAGCAGAGTGGACCAAAAACTTTAGCAAAGATTTTTACATATTTTCAGTACATGATCAATTCTGCCACTCCCCATGGTCTAAAGCCAAGAAAATGAATTTAAACTTTTGGTACAGGGTGTATTCCATTTAATCAAGCAAAATATCCAGAAGCGAATTTGTCTGACAGATGTCCTGTGGTGAAGATTTTTTTTTTCTAGAATACCAGGTACATGCATTTTCAATATCTTTCCAAAGCCTTAGCACAAAAACGTGTAATGGCAAAAAAAGATTCTGACACCCTGCACTTGGCACCAGAGGAGGATAATGTATTTAGTATGGATCTTAAGAGAAAGTTGTATACTATCGGTTCTTAAAATTACAAAGCAAAAAAATGTTATATAATTGTACAAGTATACGTCATATATGAAATACAACATTAATGGTTATTTTTTTTTAAATATGTGAACACATTTCTTGTGCTTTTGATGTTGTTTTACCTCTGACAATGAAATATACATGTATATACAGTACATGTATTAAGATATTTGGTGTGTTCCAAAAATAATTACCGTACACAAATGTATTCTATATCATGCACTTAACATGTGGATAAGAAGGGCACTAATTACACATTTTAGGTATTATCTTATCATGGTTTAATGGAAATATATTTTTAGTATCACAAAGGACAAAAATATTGGACATGCACGGGTGCAATGTCAAAAATATCACAATTATGGTACATGAATAAATTTTATCTGCTATTTTTTTGGATAAAATTCTGAATGTAAAATAATTTACGCCATTGTTTGAATACAATGCCAAAAAACATCACAACTGACTATTACTTCTATGGCTAGAACCCATATTATCGAATATTATAACTATACATGCAATACAATACTATCAGCAAGCACCATCTCTGAAATCAACAATATCACAAAAATTTATAATCACAAGTAAAACAGAGTTCCATAAGTCCTTTTCATTAAGTTGTGTGTTTCCTGCCTTTGACAATGAACCCTGGGCTCTAAATTCAGCCCATGTTTGGTGATTTAAATAAACTTGAATCTACAACATTAGGATGGTTCCATATCTGTCAACCTTTACTTACGTTGTTTTTTAATTATCTTTTCTACTTATACTTGTATGTTTAAACTTTTTATAAAAGACAACTTTCCTGGTCCTCAAGTCATGTTTTGAACAAAATTGAATCAATACAGTGCATTATATAATTGATTTAAGCATAAAGACATGAATAAATAATTTTGAAAACAAAGTCATACTGTTCTTTTGAAAGCATATAAAAATCTCTACTAAAATTCCCTGTGAAAAAAATGAAATCCCGACTGTGTGACTCAACTCTAGATGAAAAGCAGATTCATTTAATATTTGAATGTACATTAAAAAACAAGAAAAATTTGGCCCACTAGTTCTGTATGGTAAGATTTTAACAACTACGTTCTGTTTTTGCTTTGTTTCAAATAATGCTGATCTTCCCAGAGATCCTTTATAATTATGTTTTAAAAGGGCAACAAATTTAATCCCATTTTTCCCAAAGATCTTTTAATAATTATAAAAGTTAAGCCTTTAGCTCATTTGTGAAGAAAAAAAAAAAACAACAATAATTGCCCCATAATGTTAACGCAGTTTCACTTTTCCGCAATTCAACACTGCTTTTCTGTGAAAAAAATACTGCTTTTATGTGTCAAGTATTACTGCTTTTCTGCGATTATATTTTTTGCTTTTTCATGACTTATTTTAACGCGTACCCCTTCAGTTAGCCAGGTAAAACTTGTTGCCCAATGCTTACCACTGGGAAATGCAAGTAGGATTACTGTAAACCAACTATTATTCGCATCATCTTTTATTCCCAATTCATCAGTCTGAAATCAATTCGCAATGATAAATTTTTGCAACTGATGAAAAATTCTCTTCAAATGCAAAGCAAAAGAAATGGTTCATGGTGATTAATATTCGCAGGTTAAAGCAGGTCCCGAAACTCATGGATATTTCTCGCAAGCGAATAAAAGTTGGTTTACAGTATAAGTAGGGCACTAGATAAGAACATTGATATAAAACCATTAGCACTGGATAAAACAAAGATTAAAAACAACCACTGGTCTAAATATTAAAAGATTCACATAAAAAATATGCTTGCTTTCACATTTCTGTGCGAGCTCCATATATAATATTTGTTTCTGTATGAACAATTTCCATAACATCTAAAATGTAGCACCGACCAGTGCAAAATGCAAATTTCACTCAATCTTTATCACACAGTGAGATAGTACTCAAATGTTTGATGATAAGCGCTGACCATGACCATTTAAAAATCATGATCACGGAAAAGAGGTATCCAAAAAAGGAGACAACACATTACATATAGTGAATATCAATCGCAGAAAAGCAGTATGAAATACTTGCAGAAAAGCAGACAGGTTGTGACAATAAAATCGCGGAAAAGTAGAATGGCTAATGTTCACTAGCTATAAAAAAATTAAAAAATAATATTAATAGAGACAAAATTAATTGTATTAATTTTAACAATGCACTTCTTTCCAGAAAATGAAAAAAACACAATTGCAGTAAGAATTAGTAAATATAAATACATTTATGACTATTTTCTTCCAGGGCAATGAGTGTTAGCCATATCTAACCTCTCTTCCCATACTCCAATAAAAAGCCTTAATCAGTTTCCCTGCTCTTTTCTATATTGCTCATGGTTCTAACAAATCTTCTTTGTATTATGTGGAGAGTTGCAGAATTTGTCGTATTTTATCGACACAAACATCTGATGCCAGTCTTGCCTCCTTGCTTGCAGTGGAGAAGTTGAGGAAACCATGAGGAAGATCATCCACTGGATACAGCTCCACCTGGTTACCAAGGCTACGCAGTCTTCGAGCAAACATGACCGAGTCGTCCAACAGTGGGTCTAGGTGGCAGGCCTTTAGAAAACACAAAGGTAAAATAATATGTAGATAAAGCCTGTCATTCATAAATTTGTTGTTTTTTTTCATATGTACATGTATCATCTTTGTAAAAAATGCATATTTAGAGAATCAATGCTTACAGATACATACATTTTAAATTGAATATAATCTATAACAAGAGGTCCAAGGGCCTTAACAGTCACCTGAATATAATATAACCCTGTAAGATCAATTTAATACATGTAATTACACAAAATAAACTGAAACTTAAAAAAACAAGAGAGGGATGATTCTGGATCAGCAAAATACCATAGTCAGTCTGTTAATCAGCAATAACTCAGAAATTTGCTTGTATATGCCAGTGCTATCTACACTCTATCCAGTGCTATCTTCACTCTTTATCAATATCACCCAATTTGCTCTGCAATAAATACTAAACTCAGTACTATCTCCTTACCACTGGCCTGTCTTGGTCTTTGAATAATATTTAGTGTGCATACAAAAAGGTATTTATGTCTCATTTTCATTTATCTATTATTACAACTCTACCTGACTATCAAAAACTATGGAAGTATATTTTGAATTGTATATCATAACATGACGTATTAAAGGTTTTGTATAATTCTTTTATTTAATTTACCTATCAATTACTGTAAAATGCCATTTCTTTTATTTCACTTATTCATTTGACCTTTCAATTACATGTACTTACTCACATTGATTAATTATCAAAGTGAATAACAAAGGGAAATAACTTCTCTTAAAGCAGAGTAAATATTCATATCATGATCATAATAGAACCCAACCTACCTCTAGATCCCTCCTCTGATCAATATCCCTAACCTAATTCAGAATCCCTGACCTAGGGGACATGAATTTAAAAATTTTGTAAGAGGCACCTTTGCTCATCATAACCATGTATTTACTTTGTCTGCTAAATACCTAGGAGCAGAAGGAAAGATTTTCAAAGAATTAATGCATTTTCACTATATGATCAATAAAATCCTATCCTAACACCAGAATCCCTAACCTGGGGGCCATGTTTTTCACAATTTTGGAAGAGGTAACCTTGCTCACCATATCTATGCACTTAGTTTGTCTGGTAAATTTACAGGAGGAGAAAAGAAAATTTTTACAAAATAATGCATTTTCACTATATGATCAATAGTCCACCCTAACACCAAAACCCCTGACCCTGGGGCCATGTTTGCTTGATGTCCAGGAATAAAGAAGATTTTAAAAGATCAATAGATGCTATATGCCAAAATTGGTTAACATTGGTTTAAAAGCCTCAGAGAAGACACTGAAAATATTCAAATGTTAATGCATGAAGCACAATGCATCACAGATGAATGATGATGGCAGACAAAAACAGAGAGCAATAGGTCACCTGCATATATCATACTCCAGGTATTGTAAATAACAGATCTAGTTTCCTTATCTTTATTGCAAGCACAGCTGCACTGAAATTATGGTCTGTAAAAAATTTCCTTCTTCTTTGACATTTCACAAAATACAATATTTTTCAATTGCTGCATTTATAGTTTGGAATACACATTTAGCATTTATAGGAATTCAGTGGTCTAGGTACATATCTTGAGGTCTATCCATGTCTATTTACAAACATATTCACATGAGGTTAAACATTCAGGCCTACTTACCACCATTTTTATAGGAGGTAGACACTTAAGCATTTCATCAGGAGCAAGGAATGGTGACATGTAAGGATTCTTTACAATTGGATGTTTCCGGAACATTTGTAAAGGACTGAACCTCTTGTGAACTTCCTTGGTGTACTGGGGTGTGAACTTTCCAGTGAATCCGTATCGCAGAGATTCACTGATCTCCGGACAGGAAGGACTGTGAGTAAGAGAGTGACTTTGATGGTTTATCATTGACAAGTCCAATTCCAGCTTTTCTTTACTGTCCTGTGAAACTGAATGCTGCATTCCTGACATATTTGATCTTGTCAATGACCCTGCCATTAAGTCCATCACACAGGAGCTATGACCTGGTCGGTTTTGTTGTAAATGTCCATCAGATTTGGATGCAGGAAGGGTAAAATCATTCACTGCTGTGTCATCATTGGTTGGTTCTGAGATGTCTTCTGGTTTAACAATATCATAATCCTCCTCTTCAGAACTTTCTAGAATAATTTCCTCAGAGTTTTCTGTGGTTAAGTGTTCTACCTCTTCTACACTAGACTCAGATGCTCGATTAACTGTCTTTAAAATTGTAATGTCTTCATCTGAATCTGCACAGATTCCCTCCAGAACAGAGGATTGCTGACTAGATATATCTGGCTCCTCCAGGGCATGGAGAGATTCAATGGAGTGACATCTGTTTGAGATATTTTGTCCAGAAATGTCCTGGTCATCTAAATTCTCCACAGATTCAATGGAATGACAGCTACTTGTCATGGAGGAGAAGTTGTCCCCCTTGTTACCAGTTTTGTCTTTGTAGTTAAAGATGTCCTCCTCATGGAGTGCCTCATCTGCCTCAATGATCTCAAAAGGTTCATCTATTGCATTCTCCACCTTGTCTGCTATCCCAGCATATGCTTAAAGATAGATAAAAAATTTGCTTGTAACATCACAAACATTCTACAGTCAAACCTCGTTATCTTGAACTCAATGGGACCGAGAATATAATTCCAGATATCCAAGGGTTCAAGATATCGAGGGTAAAATACTTAAGAAATATGTGGTAGGGACTTCCCATTTACTTTGACATATCCATGGTATTCCAGATATCTGTGTTCAAGATACCAAAGTTCAACTGTATGTATAAATATCACATATAACAGCATCAGCAAAAAAAGTCAACATTTCATTAGTTTAAGTGCAATTAGCAGTCTTCGAGATTTTCTTTGATGACCCTTGCTTTATTTTTAATATGGAAATAGAAAACTACCTGCCAGACATCTCATCATGATTCCTACAGGTAACAGAGGATCCATCAGGGCAAGGATGCGGGCAGGAGAGGGTGTGTACCTCACCAAAACCACAGGATATGCAGTCATTATCCCATCTGGAATCTGGATACCACAAGATGCTGCCCTCAGAGCAGTTGAGATCATCAGGTTCCCTCCCGCACTGTCCCCAGCCAAGCACAAGGTCTCTCCTGTCCAGCCTGCAATTTATGCATCATATCATGAAAAGTCTTTGTAAATTTAAAATCAGGCATTAAAAGCCCAATACATTTATGTACATCACATCACATACCACAAATCAACAATCTAAATGTATTTATTACCTACAAAATGTATCAAATTGTTTGCAAATTCAGCTTCTATTCTTTCTTATGATCCTTTAAAAGTTTCCAGAGTATACAATCATCTTTTTTTATGTAACTATTTGTAAAAAGACGTGTACTGATTTTTTTCCCTTTCTTCAAAAGAAGTAATGAATAACAATTAAACTTTGCCTGTAGACATTCTGATAGCTCTAACATAAATTTCGACAAAGCATTCTTTCATTTAATTACCATTACATAAAAAATTCATTTTTCATGACATGTATTTTATGCTTTGAAAACCAATTTACACAAAACAGTCATTTACCAAGTTTTGTACAATTTTTGATGGCCCAAGCATAGGCAAAGAAGCACTCTTCTAAGGCTCGAGGAAATGGTTGTTCAGGAGCCAGGGAGTAATCTATAGACAGTATAGGAACATTGAGATCCTTGGCCCACTGTCTGAGGTAGATTCCATGTGATTTGGACGACTGTGCTACAAATCCTCCCCCATGACAATGGATCAACAGACTGCTAGACATTGGGAGGCGATGACGAGGGTTCTGATTACCATGCCGCAAGACCTGTCAACAGAAAAATGAAGGGTTACATGTAAAGCTTAAACTACATCTTGAAGCACCTACAGGTATATATAAACAAACATATCAAAAGTGTATAAACGGATGACTTGAAAAACGTCATCTTTATTGATAGCATTTAATATAAGCATCTCATGTATTACACATGAAATGAACTATACATGTACATGTAATACAATTGAAGAGCATATGTGAAAGCAATATTTGCAAACAAATCAAAGAAAAAATCAGTACCTGCCCCTCCCTGGGTTCAAAAGACATCAGTCTGACTTTGACTGGTCCTGGCCCAGTGTGGGCACAGGGAGCTGTTATTGTAACCATGTCTGTTGGATTGTCAGAGTTAACAGCTGGTAATTCAAAAGACTCTGGCTTCAGGTACATCACCTCATTCACCTTAATGGCTGGACAAACTAAAGAAGGCAGGGCCTAAGCAAAATAAAATCACTGTTGGTAGAAAAATATTTTTAGGACAGTACAGAAATAATGCCAAGTTAATGATTATTTTACCTGCATAATGTCAGACTCTGTTATGGACCAGAAATTCTTGCAGAATTCTACACTTGCTGTTCTTGTTACGCTCACAATCTGCCAGAAAAAAGAGGAGCACAACTTAAAATTCACCACTGTCTGTTTCAGACTAATTTATAGAAACAGCAGAAAATCTGTTCATCTTAATTGTGCATTCATTCATTAGTCTAGACCAATAAATGATTGCACCATTATATTCATATTTTACAATAGGCTTTTGATTGTATTAGTCTTTAAGAATGTTTACAATAAATCAAGAAATTCAGTCAAAATGGTAGCCTAGTCAATAAATGAACTCACCTGTTCTGCTCTGAGTTCAGGATTCATAAAATACTTCCCACTGTGAATCACAGAAGTGGTCAGCTGTTTGAAGTTTGATTTCTCCAGATATCCCTCACTGAAGGATGCCATAGCAACAGCTACTGTTGTTAAAGGTTTATGCATGCTTTCACAGAACTAAAATATACAGGTTAGAAGCTGAAAATATATGGCATTTAATTGTGTTGATCAAATAAATTCTAGCATGATTTTACCTGATGATTGTTAATATCTTACTTATAGAAAAATTGTCAATCCTACAAATATTACAACTGCTAGAAGGATATGTTGTTTTTTGAAAAAGTGCTTTGACACCAGAAAAGAAAGTCAGCAATGAATACTTAGAAATATGTGAATATACTCTACATTATTTTGTTCAACTCACATTTGTCACTTTGTATATGTATGTATTATTCTTGTTAATTAGTTTTATGTCATGACTGTATGCCGACGTCGACATGGTAATTGTCAATAAAGTGAATTGAAATTGAACTGAATATTGCAGATGATTTTAATTAAAAAAGTATAGTCTGATATAAAAGATGCTGAGTACAGTGAATCAAGGTATAAATTATTGATAACAAACCTGGAAACCTAAACATCGTCCATAGAAACAATTTTGACCCAGGCTCTCTACTTCCTCCATCAAGCGCTCTACTACAGGATCATTTAAATTGTCTTCATCAGCAAACAATGACCCTTCCTGACTGTAAACTACAAGTTTCTGGGCATAGTAAAGAGTGGCTCTTAACTGGCCGAGGCATATCACATAGGCCTCAAGTTCCTTGCTGTAGAAGTTCCCTCGGAAAAATAAAGAACTGCGATTTGCATTGACATACCGAGACAGTCTTAAAAGGTTTATGCAACATTTTTGGACAACCTTCAGAAGACTGCGATATCCATTAGCTTGTGTGTCTGCTGACAAATCATACTTTGGAAGAAGTGGCACTATTTGTTCAATGGATGGCTGTATGCCTCTGCAAAATTTGTAGAATTTTTTTTACATAAAACAGCTTTCAAGTTTCTATTACTTAATTAATTTAAAACAGCAAAAAGCAGTCAATCATTTTAAAGGGAAGTACTGACAATACAACCAAAAGATTTTCCACAATGAATTCTCTCATGAATTGTACACAATTTCCTGCCAATTATCTCACCACAGTAACATCTCACCTGTCAAGGTGCTCATACAACATGCAGAAAGATTGATGGAATTTGGCATGTGTGCTGCTTGTTCCATGTTGAAAAAATTCAATATTATTGAGTGATAATGCCCTTAGATCTCTAAATAAGGAGTTAAACAGTCTCGCCATTTCGAATGCCTTGTGACATGTCGCAATAACATTCAGCTGTAAATAAAAACTCCATAAAAACACAACCAAAGTTCATACCGGAAGTTGTCCAGCAGAAATTTTTTCCTGATTTTTTTTTATGCAAGGTTAATTATTTGTTATTTAATGCATTGAATATAAAGGAATAATAAATATGAAAAAATATGAATCTCTTGTAAAATTTATTCTCATTAATATTTCAACCAATGAGATTACAGAGTTCTAGAGAAGCAGAGTGAAAACAAAAAAGATGAAAACGGTAAAAACAATTGACAGCTGATATTTTAGATATGTTTTGTTGTAATGACAGACTCTTTTAGCTTCTTTGACTCGTAGTATCAGCTTCCTTTGTTGTTGCTGTATCGCTTCGATTATATTTTGTAGATAAATAAGTGTTGATGCTGTTCTAAAATTGCGATTGTTTTTTTCTGGTCAGGTTTCATTGTTTACGCCATAAATTTGTTAATACGTCATAATATGGGCACTGAGTAGTAAATTTTGATGCCAATATTAGATAAGAGAAATATAGTGATAGGTTTTCTTTGCGAATTTTTTTATGCATAATATTTAATAAACTAGAACAAGGATTGCTAGAAATTACACGTACAGTACAGTGTAATTTACATTCTGTAATACGTTAGCAAACTGCGTATGTGTAGTGATTCTTCATTAACCCTCGTTGATCTCGGCCCTCGAATGAAATACTGTTCAGTAATATGATATGTATTTAGACCTTTTGAAACATTTTATACATCAGCTGTAAAAAAAAAAAAGTTTTACCCTGTTTAAAGTTGTAAGTCATGCAGAGTTGACTAACATGGTTAGGACATTCTAGTTCCAAATTTTTATCTAGAAGAGTGTCTTTGCTGCATATTTGATAAGCATGACATGGAGGATGATTAAGGATGCAACATTAAATGGAAGGAAAATCCTGGCAAGAAAGATTGAAAGGAGAGGTTGAAGTTTTGGAAAAAGGAAGAAATGATAAATTGCGATCAGTACCTCCCACAGTTATACTTCTTCAATTCATCTCAAAATTTGTTAATTGCATTATTCCTCTCCCTCTTTGCAATGTCAAACTCACCTCTACCTTGAACTTTACTGACAATTTCATTTTTCCCTTTTCAAACTATTTCCTTGAAGATTTTAATCCTGTAAAACATTTGAAATATATTTATTGAATTTGTAGAGTTGACAGTGACTGCAATAATAATCTGAGACAGACAGATTCTGGGGGCCCAGTTGTTCTGAGAGATGGCTGAAGCAATGGAAAGTGTAGAAGACTGTGAAGGAGAGAAAATTCCAGAGGCTTCACATTCCAACAACAAGGCAGTCAAGGAAGGTCTTATATCCAACCACAAGATTTCTCAAAATGAATCAGGCTTTGATACAAGCCTCTGTGACGGCTCACTTCATGCAGAAAGCTTCAGATCAGATCTCACAGCCAATAACTCGAGTGAATTAAATCTCAGCATACCCAAGTTTGATGATAGCGGCATTGACTTTGAGAAGTCTCCCATGTCAAACAGTGCCAAGGATAGTGGTCTTGGGCCGGAACGCTCACCAAGTTTGAAAGACTGTTCGATGTCTGAACTAGATCTCAGCGAGCCAGTCTCAGAGTGTGTGACAGACAGTGGATGTGTATCAAGGACTAATTCAGAGTGTAACTCAAAAGTGAAAACTGAAAAGAGAAAAACGGAAAAACAAAATAACAATAAAATTGATCATGAAGAGGCCAAGTCTGTTAAAAACAGTTCTGCCACTACATCTGAGAATAATATAAGTGAACGTCCTATTGACGGAGCAGTAGGAAGTGATAGTGCAAATGAACCAGAATCATCAAAGATAAACAATATTGATATGGAAACCAAAGATTCTGATGATGACTCGGACATTGGCGCATTTAGAAAGCGCCCAACAAAAAAACGCAAATACCGATTTCAACGTATCACCTCAGACAGTGAAGATGATGAAATTATCCAGCATGAGGGTGAGAATACTACTGAAGGTCAAGGTGAAATGGCTGACATTGAAACAGAAAGTGACCTTGATTCTGATGACTTTTCAGATGATGAAATAGAGGATAATGAGGGATCTGTGAAATCAAAATCAGATGACCAGAAATCTGATTCTGAGGAAGAAAAAGAAGAAGACAAGGAAAAGCCAAAACAATCATGGTTTGCATTGAAAGACCTCAGCAAGCGAGAGATGGGGTACTCCAACAAAACTCCACCCTCAATATTCCGGGAAAAAGTGCAAGGTAGCTTACAAATGGTGCAGAGATTCAAACTTCAATACAAGATGGAATACCATGATGGATGTGTCAATGCTCTCAGCTTCAACAGAATAGGTAATCTCTTTCACTCATTCTACAGGGCTATTTTATTTCAGACATTGAATTTCTCATCATTGCAGTAATACTCACATTTGGCAAATAATGCTTGATGTGTAAATTCAAAAGTCATTGCATTTTTTTTTTGGTAGTTTAGAAGTCAGACAAATATTTGTCACAAGTACTTGGATATGTACAGATGTACAAAAAATTACAGGCATATGATGTGTAAAATAACAATTCAGCCTATTCATTCAATCTATGTAAATATTTTAAGTAGTAACAAAATGGTGGATCCAGAAGTTATTTTTAGTCACTTTTACATGTAGGAGTTAATGATGAGGCATTTCCTGTTTTGTTAAGTTGTGAAATATGAATAAAGACAGAGAAATTACATAACAAATCATGATTTAATTTTCATTGTAGGTACTTTGCTGGCTAGTGGTTCTGATGATCTGAATGTGATTTTATGGAATTGGATAAAAAAGAGACCTTCACTTGTGTATGACAGTGGTCATAGAGGCAATGTGTTTCAGGTAGCCTTTCTTAAGAGCTTACAGTTTAAATTGACCCTTTTAAATCAAAATCTGTATACAGTATTAAAGGTAAATTTTTATGGTTTGATTTTTTTTTGTAAATTGTCAATTTTTTTTTTTTTTTTACAAAGTAGGAATCACCCTTGAGCAATTTCTATCAGTCAGAACTGTTAAGAATTTGTTAATTAAAAGTGACATTTATTGATCTTTTAAGAAATCAGCTGGACACTTCAAACTTCTTTTTCCCAGTAAAAAAAGAAAAGGGATACACAGTGGAGAACTATAGAATTAACTTATTATACAGTATGAAGTATTTTTCAAGTAAAACAAAAAGTGCCCTAGATGCTTATTTTCATATGCACTTTTTTGTTGGAATACAAGGAGATGGGAGTTGTGCTATAGCAATAATTTTCTATCAGATTGTGTTTTTAATTTTCAAAACTGATAATCTTTGTGTAATTCTTGGTCGGGTTTTGCAATGTAGGCCAAGTTTATGCCATTTAGCGGTGATTGTCATGTAGTCAGCTGTGCGAGAGATGGTCAAGTAAGACTGGCTGAGTTATCACTGACAGGTGTATGTAAAGGGACCAAGAAGTTAGCACAGCATAAAGGTGCAGCTCACAAGGTAAAACTGCCCATTCATTTTCCTTAATAATTTGAATGGCACAGTATTAAAATTTTACTCATTCACTTCTAAGATACTATTTCTGTATAAAGGAAAGTAAAAGCGTAAATTAATGATTTGTCTTTTCATCCAGATAGCAGCAATTTGTAAATTAATTGTGTCACTGTGTACTCTTTTTTCCCAGCTGGCTTTGGAGTTAGACTCACCCCATGTGTTTCTAAGCTGTGGTGAAGATGCTATAGTATTTTCAGTTGATTTGCGTGATGATAAACCTAACAAGTAAGAATTGTAGTTTTTTGGGGGACATCTTTTTTCTTAATCAAAAACTTTCAAAAATATTTTATTAACCAGTCTTATCACAAGTTTTACACAGTGTTTGTTATTTTAGGTTGTGTCAGACAAAGTGGGAAAATCGTAGGGTCCCCCTGTATAGCATCCATTCAAATCCTGTCAACTCAAATGAATTTTGTGTTGGAGGCCGAGATAGATACATTAGGTACATGTACTTAGTGTGCATATAATATGCATATAATATATTATTATATGAAAGTGAACATAATGTATGTTAATGCATGCTGATAGTGAAGTCTTGTGTCTGACACTTTAACAAAACCATGGATTATCTCAGAAATGAATTACAGATGTTCTAGTAGCAAAGCAAATAAGCCTTAGAATATGTATTTTATTGTGTGGAAGTTTTTTTTTCAAAACCTATAAAAGTGTTGAATTACATGTACCATTTTTAGCTCACCTCAACGAAGTTGGGGGAGCTTATGTAATACCCTCGGCATCAGCGTCCCAGGTTAAAGTTTTTGGTGCAGTTTTCTTTTCAAGTACATCTGTGCCCTATATTAATCAGAGATGCATGGAGGATGCTTCTAGTATGTTTCATTGTACCAGTCAAGATTTCAGATGCTGCAATTTCAGCTGAAGAAAGACCAGGTTGATGTTTTTGGAGCAGGTTAAAGTTTTTGGAGCAGGTCTCATTTCCAAGTAACTATAAGCCCTATATTGACCAAACTTGCATTAATGATACATCTAAGGATGCACACTACTGGACTTGCTTCGGATGCTGGATCTGACCTACATTTTCTGGATGAGTGACCAGGTTAAAGTTTTTGGAGCAGGTCTCATTTCCAAGTAACTATAAGTCCTTTGTTGAACAAACTTGCATGGATGATACATCTAAGGATGCACACTACTTGACTTGCTTCGGATGCTGGATCTGACCTACATTTTCCGGATGAGTGACCAGGTTAAAGTTTTTGGAGCAGGTCTCATTTCCAAGTAACTGTAAGTCTTATGTTGACCAAACTTGCATGGATGATACATCTAAGGATGCACACTACTGGACTTGCTTCAGATGCTGGATCTGACCTACATTTTCCGGATGAGTGACCAGGGTAAAGTTTTTAGAGCAGGTGTTATTTCCAAGTAACCAAAAGTCCTATGTTGACCAAACTTGCATGGATGATACATCTAAGGATGCACACTACCAGGCTTGCATTGGATGCTGTATCTGACAGACATCTTTCAGATGAGTGACCAGGTTAAAGTAAACTATAATAACTATCTGAACCAAACTGAATGGTGCATCACAGGGTGAACACTCTCAAACTTGCTTCAGATGCTGGATATGACCTACATTTTCTGGATGAGTGACTAGTTCAAAGTTTTTAGGTAAGTCCATTTCCAAGTTACTGCAAGCTCTATTGGACCAAAATTGCATAAATGTTACATCTAGGGATGCACACTACTAGATTATTAGTTTGGGACTTTGCCTTACTTAAAGACAACATTTGTTGAGGTGAGCTCTGTAATCTCTGATTACCTGTGTTTAGTGTATTCCTAACAACAGATTAGACATAAAAATCAAATAAGCTTACAAACAACATACATATAATTTATGAAAATGTATTTTCCTGATTTTAGAATTTATGACAAAAGAAAAATTGCAGATGTGAGTATTTCTTATTTATTTAATGAAATGTGTCATTGACTGTATTAAAACAGTGTGCCATTAGATGAATCCTTGATTGTAACTATTTGTATGATTTTTAGCTCACCTATTCTGATTTTTGAATTGATCTTTCCTGATAAAAATCTGTGTATGGACAGTCTTGCAGAAACATGATTTATTTATCCATCTGGAATTTAGCATCCAATTAGCATCTGCGTGTAAACTTTCAACATTTTATTTTCTCTCCAAAATAAACTGATACAAATTCAGCATAATCTGGCACAAGCTGACTTTCGAAAAAGAGGACTCAAGCTTTTTATATAGGGCCTTGGTTGTAGCTCTAGGGAGATGATAAGCAATAAAGACACACTGTAACTATTAAATCAAACATCTCATGCTACAACTAAGGTTTGGTTGAAGTATCTGTTCAGTGTTGGGATGGCAAAATGATACACAGAATATTTGAAAATCTCCAAAAATAATGATAAAAAACAACAGATACCAAGAGAATTCATAACAAGCAGCCTTCCTTTTATAGTGTAGAAGCATATTTGTTGATTTTTCAATACAAGTGCAGAATGATTTAAATGAGCAGTGTTGTCAGCGTGCCATTTGTTTTTTTCAGACTGAAGATGGAATTGTCAAAAAGTTTTGTCCTCATCATTTGGTAAGACAGTATATTACATGGAGCTCACTTCTGTCCAGAAGCCATCTGAAAATATCTATATAACTGTTTATTATACATCCGATATGTGTTAGAAAATGAAATAATTGTATGTTGTTCTCTTAGATTGACAGCAAGTCCAAAGCTGACATTACATGTGCAGTGTATAATTACAATGGAACAGGTAGGTGATTAAAAAAAAAATAAAGAAGCACAGATTTTTTTTCTAAGTTACACATTCAGTCCTCACCGTCTCAAACTTAAGCAAAACTTCTGAGATTCCTAGGGTTTTAGGCAGGTTGAAGATGAATCTCATTGACATTAGGGCCGCTGATTCACTTTGATGCATCTGGTTATATTGTTTATTGAGAAGGAGAATGTTGAGTTTTATTGACAATTTTCTCTAGAATGAAAATAGAATATGCATTTCACTTATCTGTCGATGTGAACCTATTATTAGAATGTACCTTATATTCATCTTTCCAGAGGTACTGGGCTCATACAATGATGATGATATTTATTTGTTTGATAATACACATTCCGATGGGGCAGACTACATCCACAGATATGGCGGTCACAGAAATAGTGCCACTGGTAAGTAGGGATGTAGTTTTGATCCAAAATCAAATCAAGGAAGATATATATGTTCTTTGGATCAATATGTGCTATACTAACCCTATTGCAATTATATCTGCTTCAAAAGAGAATACCTGGTACAATCTACTATTCTCCATTATTTGAAGCAAGGAATGATGACTTAGTAGAACTACATGGATAATAATGTTGAATAATAATATAATAATAAAGCCTTTATTATACCCCACGCAACAAGTTGCGTGAGGTATAATGTTTTTGACCCGTCCGTCAGTCAGTCAGTCAGTGTGTCAGTCAGTCAGTCAGTCAGTCCGTCAGTCCTGTTTTTTTGTCAGCGCAACTCCTCATAAACCAATGCACAGAATTTGGTCAAACTTTGCAGATATTTAGGACACAATGTGTAGATGTGCATATTACCAGGAAATTCCGATTCCGTATTTTTCTGGGAATTTCAGCACTTTTCAACTTAGATTTTTGGCCATATCTTGAATATAGAGATGAACAGTTTGTCAGCGCAACTCCTCTTAAACCGCTGCACAGAATTTGGTCAAACTTTGCAGATATTTAGTACACAGTGTGTAGATGTGCATATTACCAGGAAATTCCGATTCCGTATTTTTCTGGGAATTTCGGCACTTTTCAACTTAGGTTTTTGGCCATATCTTGAATATAGAGGTGAACAGTTTGTCAGCACAACTCCTATTAAACCGCTGCATAGAATTTGGTCAGACTTTGCAGATATTTAGCACACAATGTATAGATGTGCATATTACCAGGAAATTCCGATTCCTTTATATTTTCTTGGAATTTTGGCACTTTTCAACTTAGATTTTTGGCCATATCTTCAATATAAAGATGAACAGTTTGTCAGCACAACTCCTCTTAAACCGCTGCACAGAATTTGGTCAATCTCTGCAGATATTTAGTACACAGTGTGTAGATGTGCAAATTACCAGGAAATTCTGATTCCATTATTTTTTCTGGGAATTTCGGCACTTTTCAACTTAGGTTTTTGGCCATATCTTGAATATAGAGATGAACAGTTTGTCAGCACAACTCCTCTTAAACCGCTGCACAGAATTTGGACAAACTTTGCAGATATTTAGTACACAGTGTGTAGATATGCATATTACCAGGAAATTCCGATTCCATTATTTTTGCCTTAAGAGTTTTGCCTTTTATTGAAGAAACTTTCCAGCTAGGTAATAAGAAACTCCACTGGAATCAGCTTTTTATAATGAAATTCTATGTGAAATATTTTATGACCTTAAAAGACCCCTATTGATTTTGAGATCAAAATATTAATGGTTTAACACAAACACACACTCACACACACACCATCTTCGATAGTTCTCCCCCCCCCCCCCCCCCCTTCAAATTGGTGTGCTTTGCCTTAAATAATTTCAGAAGTACAGTATATAAACAGATTCATATATGACTACATCATAATTTTGTTTCCATCAATTATTTAAATGTGTAAACTGTCATGTGTTGGACATGGACTTGCACTCATTAACAAATCGAAATCACTGAGGAATTTAAATAACAGTTTCTCAGCATAATTCCGGCACTGAATTTCCTGAAACTTTGTAGGTATTTCAGAATAATGTATAGATTTGTATATTACCAAGAAATTTTGATTCCATTATTTATCTAGAAACTTCAGCCCAGTTAAATTTGTAACATACAAAGATTTGAATGTCCTTATATGCAAGAAGTTTTGATGTGATGATTTTTTGCAAGTAATGCCCCTTTTTTGAATTATACTGTGTATTTAAAATGCACTGTGCCATTCATTACGTGTTGCATTGTCGAGTTTTGGGGAAGCGTGGGGTATGTGAGCTTGCTCACTTTTTCTTTCATTTATCCAGGATGACATAGTTTAGCAACAATGCTAGTTTTCAATATGGTCCTGCATTATAACATACATACAGACAGGTATTAGTAAAACACAGTTTAAAAGAAATAGAGTACATATAAGATAAATAATAAATGTGAAATATAAAATAAGTAAATACAAAACAAAATTAAAATGTATGATGGTATTCTCTAAGATAGTTTCTCTTAAAACATACAACACTTCTTGAATTTCTGGTGTTTTCACACAAGGTATTCCACGTATTGCTACCTGAAACACTGAAAGATCTCTTATAATACTCAGTCTTTGTCCTGGGTACATAAAATAAATTTGAGTTGGAATTTCTTGTTTGCCTCTGGCTAATTTCTGATACATATTTAAAAACATTTAAGTAATCTGGCATTAATCCATGTAATACTTTATACACTAAAATGACTTTTCTATTATTATTATTATTATTATTATAACTACATGGATAATAATGTTGAAGTTGTTGAATAAATGCCAGTCATTCCCCTGTGTTTGTTTCAGTTAAGGGAGTGAACTTTTATGGCCCCCACAGTGAGTTTGTTGTCAGTGGGAGTGACTGTGGCCATGTCTTCCTTTGGGACAGAGAGACAGAGAGTGTGGTACAATTCATGGAGGGAGATGATTGTGGAGTGGTATGTTATCATATCTAATAAACTTCAACTTCTAAACTGCATTTCATCCAAGCTACCTTATTTTACAATTGATTACTTTCCCAACGTCACAGGTCAGATTATTATTTAATAGTAAAAGTTAGTTCTGTAAGATATTTTTTACTTCAATAAGTATATACACCTGAATTTTGTTTGAAGTTTGCTCAAAGATAAGCAATAATTTTTTTTGATATTCTGCACAAGATTAATGTGTTGGAGCCCCATCCTTTTGCCCCGGTTATGGCCACCAGTGGTCTGGATCATGATGTGAAGATTTGGGCCCCCACCGCTGAGGAGCCAACCGTATTACCCAACCTCAAAAAGGTAGCTTTTAATACCAGGGCAAAACTAATGATATTATATATTTGCCCTGAATATTTGCTAATAGATTGAATGAAACTGTGTTCAGTTGAGGGAAATATTCTCTTTTTAATGCAATAAATGATGATGAATTATTCTGACAGACAACCAAGAAGAATAGGAAAGAGAGAGATGAGGAGAATTTAAGTGACCCTTCTGCACTGCATGACATGTTGGATGGTCCGATGATGTACTACATAATGAGACAGATCAGTCGAGCCAGGAGAAGGGTAATACAGAAATGACAGGCGAGCTAGTGGAATGAGATAGGGGCATTGAGCTTATATGAATGAAAATTGATGCGAGTTTGGTGTAAATATGCTGAGTTCACAAGTGCAATTTTACATTACTCATTACAGTAAATTGGCAGACTAGGAATATTCTCTATCAATCATATCCAAATAATGTTCAATGGGCCTAAGGTATTCTAAAAGATACCTTTGTAGACTAAGAGTATCTTATCTATTTAAACATAATGGTTTGTGGACCAGGATTATTTCCATACAGATAATATTCTGTAAATTATTTATATTTATATCTGGATAATATATTATAGAATGAACCAGATGCTGATGACTCCAGTTCTAACACTTCCGACTCGGATTCTGAAGATTCGGAATTTGGCCCAGTGGACAGGCTCCAGTGTGCACAGCAGTGAATCAGCCATGTGTGACCAAAATAAATCAGTGTTAAAGGACTGTGCCAGATTAATCAAAAAGCTTATGCAGGAATTCTGGGAAATGCATCATTTATAAGAGACTTCATTTTCATGCTTCAATGTAATCATGCTAGAGACTTCATTTGATTTTTACAGCATATTGCATGATCATGTATTTGTGGATAGTTATTTTGTTTACTGCAGATTATGTTTACTTTTTGCTTTTGTTTATTTATTCATCTATTTGTACAAACATCATTGGATTTGTTCCCTTTTTTCTGTTTAAATAATATATCCTACATCATGAAATGATTGAGTTAATACATATATTTAATAACTGGAGTGAACTTAAATGTTAATGAAATTATATTGATGGTGAAAACCAGAATGTTTGTGTTCTCAATAAAAATCTAATTTATTTGTTTGTTTGTTTTTTCTCATACACTGAAGTTCTGTGCACTCACTGTTGATTAAAAAAAAATGCCCATGGGCCTTGACAGTCACTTGAGTAGCATGGCTTTTTTGGGCTATCACCACTTAAGCCCCACCTGGAATTCCATCTTGTATGACCAAAATAATACTACAATTTAATGGAACTCTATGATAATAATATTCATGCAGCTTCTCTCTTAGAAATTGAGGAATAAAGAAGATGAGGTACACTTGATAATATACATTTATTGACTGGGTTCAAAGGCCCAAGAACCAAACCCAAGACCCAAACTGTTTGCCCGAGGCCTAATGGCCTCAGGCAAACAGTTTGGTTTGAGGCATCGACAAAATGCATTTTGCCCAAGAACACGGTAAATTGTGTGATGTAGCACTGAGGTTAAACTCAGTCAATTTTGTCACTGTCAAACACTAACGAATGTAAATGAGATTTAGCTGTTCCAGCCCATTGCATGACGTAAGTGGTCCAATATTTCATCAACAGGTCTAATATCTCACTCTGCGGTCAAACATCAATTTTTTATGACCGCTCAGTAAAACATTGGATTTGTTAGACTTTTTTAAGTAAAGATTTATATAGGAACAAATTTGTAAAGGTATAACAATAAATTTTAACCGATGACTAACAGCCCAATCTTGAGGCCGTGAATTTTTACAATTCTCATAAAGGCCAAGTGTTACCAGGGAAACATAATGTCATCAGATTGGCTGCTAGATGTCCAAGAGTAAAGAAAAAGATAACTTGTGTATTTTCTATACATTACCAAATAAGCCTTACCCCAGGACCTTAATGCTAAACCCATGGCACATATATTTTACAATATTGGATTTTGATAAAAGGGTTTGTACCGGGTATTTGTAGCGTTATCAAATTGTCCTCCAATAAATATCCAACTTTGCCCCACCTTAGGTAGTTATTGTATTTATTATGATCATGCATGGAAACAATTTGCCAGCAAAATGCCCACTAGTAGAAGAAAAAAAACTAAAGACGAAATGTATGTTCAATACATGTATTTTGATAGAGGGCTTAGTATTCATTATAAATTTATAATCTAGGAATCAAATTGCCTGCTAAATAAACATGAATAGAGAAAGGATTTTAAGATGTAATGTATTTCCAATACATGTAAATGACCATGCAATTGAGCCCTACCCTAGGGCCTGAAACATGGACCCAATGACCATGAATTTCACAATTACAGAGAAAGTACCCTGGTACTTGTTATAATCATGCAAACAATTTGTCTGCTAGTTGTCCTTGGGTAAAGATTTGATATGATACCCAGTATATGACAACCTGTCAAAGGATCAATTGGGCTATTCTGATCAAATGTCAGTGTTGTCATAAATTTTTAACATATTTTCATTTTCTTCTCCAGAAAACTTAGATATCATTGAGATGGTGACCATCTTAAATAGCCTTCTTTTAGAAAGGACATAAGGATGAAAGGAACTTGGAAAGGAGGACTGTACCTTTAACTTACATCTTCACAAATGGACACTTCGGTGAGATGAGCCAAATGTGGCCAAGGGGATAAAATATATGCTCATGACAATGATTTCACACAGGTATCTGCTGTTGCCTTGACCTCTGACCCAGAAACTTAGTTCAAGGTCACTGAACAACCTTAACCTATAGGCAATCCATGGGTGAAATAAATGAGCCAGATAGGACCAAGGGAAAAAAATAGGCTCCAGACAAGGACTACACACATAGATGTTTTTTTACTTTGATCTAGAAAATTGGTTCATCATTGTACACCCTCTACCCACAAGTACTCTACAAGTGAAGTACAAGTCAATGAGGCCAAGGGAAAGGAAAATAAGCTCACAATAAGAGAATTGCTGTGACCTTCTTCTCTGACCTAGAAACTTAGTTCAAGCTTGCTGCACACCCTACCCTACAGACATTCAATGGGTAAAGAATGAACCAGGTAAGGAGAAAAAATAAGCTTTCAGATCAAAGTCCAGGGAAAAAATCTTTGTAAAATGAGTGTTAGAACCCATTTTCTTTCTGTCTCCCCATCTAAAATCACATGTCCTGTATACATTTCTTCTCCCCTTGGCCCAATCTGGCTGGAACTTCACCCATAGAGTGCCTGTGGGTAGAGGGGATACAATGACCTTGAACCTATTTTTAGATCAGAGGTCAAGGTTAAAAAACATCTCAATGTGAAATCCTTATCCAAAGCATATCTTCTCTCCTTACCTGGTTATATTAAAAATTTCTGAAAACACTGACATTTGATCAGAATAGCTCAATCGAGCCTTTGGCAGGTTGTCATATACCGAGTATCATAACATAAAATCTTTACCCAAGGACAACTAGCAGACAAAGTGTTTGCATGATTATAACAAGTACTTTCTCTGAAATTGTGAAATTCATGGTCATTGGGTCCATGTTTCAGGTCTTAGGGTAGGGCTCAATTGTTCATATACATACATATACATTAAAAATACATCACATCTTTAAAATCCTTTCTCTATTCATGTTCATTTAGCAGGCAAACTGAATCCTAGATTATAAATTTATGATAAATACTAAACCCTCTATCAAAATACATGTATTGAAAATATTGGCAAAATTTTCCCATGCATGATCATAATAAATACAATAAGTACCTAGGGTAGCAAATTGGATAATATTTATTGGAGGGCAATTTGATAACACTATAAATACAAACCCCTTTACCAAAGTCGCAATATTGTAAAATATATGTGCCATGGGTTTAGCATTAAGGTCCCGGGGTAAGGCTTATTTGGTAATGTATAGAAAATACACAAGTTATCTTTTTCTTTACTCTTGGACATCTAGCAGCCAATCTGATGACATTATGTTTCCCTGGTAACACTTGGCCTTTATGAGAATTGTAAAAATTCACGGCCTCAAGATTGGGCTGTTAGTCATCGGTTAAAATTTATTGTTATACCTTTACAAATTTGTTCCTATATAAATCTTTACTTAAAAAAGTCTAACAAATCCAATGTTTTACTGAGCGGTCATAAAAAATTGATGTTTGACCGCAGAGTGAGATATTAGACTTGTTGATGAAAAATTGGACCGCTTACGTCATACAATGGGCGGGATTAGTAAATCTCATTTGCATTTGTTAGTGTTTGACAGTGACAAAATTGACCGAGTTTAACCTCAGTGCTACATCATGCAATTTACTGTGTTCTCAGGCAAAATGTGTTTTGTCAATGCTTCAAACCAAACTGTTTGCCTGAGGCCATTAGGCCTCAGGCAAACAGTTTGGTTCTTGGGTCCAACAAGTTTTGGTTTTATAAATTCATTATATCAGACTTCATTATAGCCTTAAAATTTCACAAGGAATTGATAAGTTTTCTAGGAATAAAGAAACACTACCCTATATCTGTATTTGCTATACATGTATCTTTTTCATACTACATATTTTACTGTAGTTAAAAATTGGACAAATATCCACTTTTCCATAGTGCAAGGTCCCCATTGTACAAGCTTCCCTCAAATTCCATTACAGCATGATACATTGTATCACAAGTTCTCCAAATGATGTCACACAAATGAACTTAAGCAATTTCCATAGAAAAGTTTATTTAGCTAACAATGCAAATAAAGTTGTTGATGTTTGAAGCATGAAATATTGTACATATTTTGAAACCAAAGTTTCAATTAGTTGTTTATCATTTATTCCTACAGTTAATATACATTGTCTGTTGTCCATACATACCCGTACCAAACATTCTAACAAATGCTCATGAGCAGCTCATGAGACTCACATGAGAATCAAGTAAGAATTGTATGCAAATTAGATAGAATTTGATTTTGCTCATGTGCAGATTGTTAGTCTCTGTTAGGGAGGGAAATGCTAACCAAAATGCACATGTGCAAAATTATGCTCACCTCAATGCTCATGAGCAAAAGTCTATTCAATTTGCTCACCTAAGAACAGCCTTATTTAAGATATAGCATTGGTAGTAATTTTTCTAAGTTCAGTTTTCTCACGTGAGCAAGAGGTGAGCAAGTGGTGAGGAAACTGGACATAGTCAAAATTCAGTATTACAAGTAGAACCAAAACCAAAGAATTACAAAGTCTCAATTCCTCATGTGAGGCTCACATGAGGAAATACAATACTCCGACATTCTATGTGGTCAAGCTTTCCCAAGCCTTTATTACAATTGACCATGTGTTAAGTGTTAACGCTTCCTGATGATAGCATCACAAATGATTGGGGACCAAGCAGGAATATCTTAATTTCTTGAGCTTCTAATCTTCATCCCATCAATTTGAAAATGCTTTCATCTACCTAAACAACCTGTTGTGTTCCCCACTGTTACTTAAAGCAGGGCAGTATCCAATGAGGAGAGCCAGTCAAGATTTGTGCGCCTTCTCAGACCAGTTCAAAATTTTAATACAAAATGTTTGTGAGGGAGTCATTGAATTTAAGTATACGGATTAATACAGTGAAGAAATGAAATACCAGGGTATGCTTTTGGAAATACATGTCATCACCATATTGAACTAGATGCCAGCATTTAAAAGTTACAAATGTATCCAGTATGTCCATGGGATATGAGGAAATGATTAAAGATCAATTATACGTTATACCATTGTGGAGCCACAATGAAGGAAAATTTCAAAGATTTGCTGATCTGAGAAAAGGGTAAGTGCTTTGAAATTTATTATCCTCCCTCTCAATCATTTCAAATATTACTAATTTTAAAAAATGATATGTTTGTGTGTTAATCATCAGTGTATTTATTTAAGGAATGTTTTTAAGTTTTGTGTGAGTTATTGGTGTGTGAATCTCACAGACTTGTCACATAGGCATATTTCATGAAGCGCGCTAGCGCTTCATGAAAAATATGCCTACGTGCAAGTCTGTGTGATTCACACACCAATAATTCACACTAAACTTAAAAACATTCCTTATATTTACATTTTACATGTTAAGAAGCACAAAAAATATACTCAATATTTGAATTTCT